TGAGAGTTCTGGAGGAGGAGCCCATGTGACTCTCCAGTTTGAGAGAAATGACTTGGAATGATCCTGCTACATTTCCAAGGCATTCCAGGATTCCATGGTCAGCAATATCAAATGCTGCAGAGAAGTGTAACTGTATAAATATGAATGTGTGGCCTTTGCCCTGGCTCAAGATTATCTCGTGCCATCTTTGTTCAGTGACATGGCCTGAAGCCTGACTGAGAAATGTTGACGATATTAGCAGTATCTTTAGCCAAAGCTAAATACATCTGAAATGCCAGAGCCAAAACCTTTCTTGCTCGCTGCTGTGACCAGTCACTTTCCTATTTAAGGACTTCTACTGGCTCCCCATAGTCCTGTGCATTAAGTTCAAACTTCTTGTCCTTGGCTAAAAGGCCTTCAACACTCAGCACCTGCCTGCATCTCTGACCGCTGGTCTCTCTTCTTGTTTAAGCCACTCACACCATCTGCTCCATCATCAGTGTCAGCCTGGACACCCACTTTGTCTGCTTTCACAGATACTTTCTTCCATGCTGCTGTACTTAGAAAAGTACTAAAGTCTATTTGGTAAGCCACCACCATTGCCCTTGGACGTCTCCATAGGAATACTCTCAATGAATTCATTGTGGGCTTGGATGTGCCTTAGCCTACACACCTCCTCCTGTAGTTCTCACCTGCTTCCCGAGGGATTCCACCAGCAGACACCTTTCACACCGGATGGTCCCCCCAGCCTGGCTTTCTGAGAGGGGAAATGCAGGCCACAGTCTCTGCAAATCCACACCAAGTTCCACACCAAATGTGGAAAAATGCAGGCCACAGTCTGCAAATCCACACAAAGAGGCATTCATGGTCAGGTTATAAACTTTTTGGGTTGGGGATTCTTACCTAGTTGACTGTTCAGCAAGAATTCAAGCATGCTTATGAACATAGCGCAATTAAATTAGGGTAATCTACTCTTCTTCTGATGCGTGTGTGTGTGATTGTTGCTGATGGCAATGGGAAATATGCACATCTATATTGAAGGAATAGACTGCTTAAGTGAAAATCAGTGCTTTTTGCAATGTACATTTACATGCATGAGTCCATGATTAATGCAGAGTTGGTTGTGTTCTTATATATGTCCTAATTGTAGTGAATTTAATAATTAAACAAAATGTTTAATAAATAGAAAGCAAATATAGAATAGCATGTAATGTAATTCTTTTAAATCTCACTGTTGTTTGCTACCTTTCCCCAAAAAAGTATCTGTGGGCTAGATTGTGACATTTAGCCTCAAGTCCCCAGTATGAGCTCGTATGAAGCTGCACTGTCCCAGGGAAGCTGTGGGGAGTTCCTCTTTTTCTTGGTGTACAGATGAAGAGTGTGTTCTCTATCATCCTGAAGGATGGTACAGCATACTCCCATAGCCTGATTGTGGAAAGGATCAAAGCAATGCCACTACTTTTCTTCTTGTCGCCTTTGGTGGTATATGAAGGGAGTATTTTCTTTGCTCTTCAGATAAATTTTTCTCCAGAGGTCAGGGATTGCAAGTGTCTTATTCTTGCACAGGCTGTCCAAGGGAAAGGTTCTTTGTGTCCCTCATCCCCTGTGCACCCGCACTGTGCTGACGGCAATGTGTCCCTTTATCAGGAAACATACTATAAGTTGATTATCTATCATAAGATTTGTGTCTGTAATGAATTATTTTTGTAATTATTCCCAACATAGTGATAATTTGTAGTAATTCAGACTGCCAGATTCTGAAATAGGGTGTATGAAAAAAAAATCAGTAGCCAGCTGCTATAGCTCTGGTGGAGAAGGTTATGGATATTATTGTTTATGCAGGATACCACCAAATATTGATTTAGCTATAATTCTTTTATTAAATTCAAAGGTCAAATGGTATTTATACAGTTGCTTCAAATGTGCCTTAGATGTGTAAGCAGTCATCATGTCCTCATAAAATACAGTTATAAATAATGATCAGGTGCTTATCAAAGGACTAGGCCCAGGAGTGCTCAAACCCACGATGGTTGTCTCCAGCTTGCACAGGCAGACACTAGTAATGAACCCTTTACGAGCTCACTTTTTTTTATAGACTTTAACAAACAAGTGATGTCAGAGCCAATTGTTCACTTGAGCTAAGAACCAGTTTTGAGCAGTTTGGAAATGACCCCTTTCCTGGCTTTGAGTAGACAAGATTTTATGATTTGGCCCCTTTCTTCAAGTTGACACTGGTATGTTAAATGTCATGATAAGTGTATTACATCACAAAATAATTTTTCTTTGTCAGAATCAGTTTTGATAATTCAGGGCTTCTCTTCTCTTACCAGCTATAATTTGAGCATATCACTTTTACAACTTAACTTGCTAGTTACATTTTTTATTTAAGCCTTCCCTTGGCTGCTAAAATCCCTGTATTTGATTTAAACCGAATATGTATTTTCCTACATTATGTTATTGGGTTAAGTTTAGTTAAACCGTTATCTCCATTATAAAATACATTGTGTGGAAAATTGGATCAGTTTTATGTTTAAAAATAGCGTAAAGCTAAGTAAATAATCCAATAAAGAATCATAGTATACACATAGTGGTCTCTGTGTCAGCATTTACCAGTGGTTCTCCTCTAAGTACAAAGAGAAACTTTGGTATTTGCTGATAAGTGTTGATGGTTTAATGGAAGCTACTGCATTAACATATGCAAACAAAATAGAATACTGTGATAAAATATTATATTTAGAAGATAGTGGGATGAATTAAAAGAGCAAATAATATGACTGGTAGAGAATGTCTGTTAAGCTAGTAAAAGGGTGAGTGGGAATGTGAATCAGTACCCATATGAGTGAAACAAATCTTCCAATAGCTATTTTGTACAAATATGTATTCATATTTATTAATATTTGAGACTGCTAAATCAGTGATCAAGAAAAATTCCCAAGTAGCTCTTCCAGATAGATCATTAAGATAATTTGTAAGCCCAGCATATGGAAGGTTTCATAATGGTTTGATATGTCCAGGTTCAATGTAAAGATGAATAATTTGGAAATGTATTATTATGAAAGCTAGTTATGATTAGAGTGACTGAGGAGTTAGTAATAGTCTTTTTCTGAACTACTTTTGTCCAGAAGACAGATGTGGGTCCATGGTGAAATATCCTGTGACAAATTGTAACCAGGGTGATAGTTTGAGATACCAGCTCTAGCCAGTCCTAAAGGGTGTCCAAACTTCAGATGGTTATTTAGAACAAAAAGGAAGATTAAAACAACTAACTTGTCTTCTCTTGCTCAAAGATAAGTCCAAACTTTCTCACAGAGTTCAGAAGTATTGGGAAGAGCTATATCAATTTCCTATTCCAACTTGGTGCTCTGATTTTAAATCAGAATTTTTTAAATTAAAGAGACAAGGTGGGTGAAGTAATACGTTTTATTGGACCTACTTCTGTTGGTGAGAGAGACAAGCTATGAAGCCACACGGAACTTCAAGTCCTGAAGAAGAGCTCTATGGCTCGAAAGTTTGTCTCTCTCACGAACAGAAGGTCCAGTAGAAGATGATATCTCACCCATCTTGTCTTTCTAATATCCTGGGACGGACATGGCTACTACTACACTGCATACACTTTTTTTAAAAAAAATTGTAGGGCACATTAAAATGTTAATGCTGTCTGAAAGTAATTATATGCTTTAGAGACGAATGATAATATTAATTTGGAAATAAATTTCTATATGTTAATAGTTGATAGTTAAATACAGTGCCTAATCTCTATAAAATGAGTTAGGTCAATGAATTTTTGAAAGTTGTGAAAGAAATATTTACAGTCACATGTAGGGTCAGCAAATAAACATTCTTAATCAAGGTTTTAAAGGGAAAGGATTTGTAATTAATATTAAATTTGAGATTAATATATAATGAGGAATTTGTACAGGTAATTATGTGTATGTTAATTGAAGTGTTGCAAGCTTAAATCTGGGATTGTAAAATAGACAATGAGTTTACATAGGAGATAAATCATTAATATATATCACAGGATCAAATGCAGATTAATCTTATTTTAGTGTGTCTGGAATACAATTCCCTGATAGCTAAAGCCTGCTTGATTTGACTCATTTGACTCTTCTTCCAATTGAAAAAGTGTGGGCAGTAGTAGACCATTAGGAGAAAAGCTCCAAAACAGTAAATCCAATCCTTTTTGTTAACTGTGTTATGTCATTGTTGCCTGGAATATCTCTATTAATGAATTAATAACTGGATGAATGCTGGGAAGGAATTGATTCTTTTATATATTACTGTGTATGCTCTTGGCCTAGAACTGCTTCAAGTTTTTAAAAAAATTAAAATGCGTAAGAAGCATTTTAAGTGCTACTACATCAAAGAATGAAGCCTTTATCAGCTGAGTAAGTAGTGATCAATTACAGACAAGTGGGAGGCTCATCCGGACAGTCACCACACAGACGTCTCCAATACCAGACAAATACACATCTTCAGCTTCCCTTTGTTTAGAATAACTATTTATAACTTTTGTTGTTTTTTCTTATGAATATGCATTAGTTTCTGTTTCATATCAGTTCTCCACCTCTGTTGGTACAAGTTTTGTGCTAACTCAAACCAATTTTTTCTAGCTTTATGGATGCTTTATCTTTTTGTTTTCCTCACAAATGTGATTACTCTTCATTTTCTTACACATGGGTGGTTCTACTTAAGTTTTAAGCTGTTAAAAATTATCCAAACAGACTCTTAAAAATCACAGCAGACTTTTATCAGGCCTAAAATGTGCCTTCGCTCCCAACAGTGCGCACCCAGATCTAGAGTGTACCCATATAATAAGGTACATTCACAAAATAAGCAATTTAATAAACATATTACCAAGAAAGGGAAAGTGTCGAACTAGAAACTATTTTAAGGATTACTGCTTTTATTTTCAGCTTTTTTTTAGATATACAAAGCAACACATACACATGTGCACAGTTTGTATTGTATGTATGTAGTAAATGCATATTTTTGATTTGTACAACTGACCTGTATTCTAGGTTGAAAACAGTAGTAGAAGAATTGATTCAGACACAGCAGACGCTTTTGAACAAAGAGGAGCTTTTGTTGGAACTAGAAAAGAAAATAGAAGAATCTTCTAAGACCTGTGAAAAAAAATCAGAGTAAGTGTGGCAAAGATATTGGAAGGTGAAAGTTTTAAAGAAAAAAGTTGTTTGTATTGTAATATGCAGTTCTTCTTTGAGTGATTTGCACATGTCTGTTCCACTTCAAGTTTGTGCGTTCCCAGTGCCCCATTTTTTCCCGTAGTGGTATCCGTCAGGGTGGCGCATTTGCTTTCAGCACACTCGTCCTATGGATTGATGATATAAAGGGCGGAGCTGTCATGACCCTCTCTCTCTCTCCCCCCATTCCTCCTTATTAGCTGTGATCTGTAGTTGGAGCATGTCAACTTGTTTATCCAAGTTTCCCCACACTATCATTGGTTTTCAGTCTATTTGTATATGGTTAAGTAGTATATATGTTTGGGGGGTGGGGGAAGGCATTCTTGTTGTTTAGTGGCACTCATCATTGTACTGAGTCTAGGTTTTCTTCATTTTTTTTTTCTTGGTTTTCCAACAGAGACATTCTTAGTGCAAATGTTTATGCTCAGTAGTGGGGGATGCCTTTTAGCTCAGGCTTTAAGTCTTGTGCCAGTTGCAAGAATCTCTTGGTGAGTGACCCTTGCTCCAAATGTCTGGGTGAGGTCCACATTCAAGACCGGGGCCAGATCTATAGAGATTTAAAGTGTTGTATAAAAAACAGGGACGTGAGATTCCATATTCTTATGGAGGCTGTCTTGCATCAGAGCCTTCGTGCTTAGTGCGATGCAGTGTGCTTCCTTTTCAACAAGGAGTGTCTCTCCAGACATTGCTGTTTCCACCCCAGAGAAGATTGTTGGAAGGAAAGCACCTATCTTTTTCTCTGGTACTGAGGAGAAAGCACAAGAGATCTGGTCAGCACTGTTCCTGTAAGATGGGTAGATGCAGTCTTGAGAGGAGATTAAGATCCCTGGCGTTATCTACCAGCAGAACAGTGGATAAGTGACTGTGCCCAGTACCAGCCTCTGCCTCACCCTTGTAAGAATTGTTCAATCTGGCAGTGGCTTCCGGGCTGTTGAGGCTGACTTTTACTGCCCTCAGTGCAGGTACAAAATAGATCAAGAAGGTCTTGCGGTGCTAACAAATCCTGAGGCTTATGCAACAGAAAGAGACTTGGTCTGTCTCAAGATGCTGGATTTTCCATTTGGGTAGAAGGTAAATCTACAGTTACAGGTCCTTCTCCAGGCTCTGGCATGCTCGCTGCCAGCAGAAGAGTCCCAAGTTACTTCAAGGCAGGGGCAGCAGATCACAGTACCGTTGATGGTCAAGTTCTTGAAACGCCTAACTCTTTCTCATACTGTCCAATCCAGGAGTAAACCTAATATGTTGTCCCTGGTACTGACATCATCCAGCAGATGTTCTCTGTCTCAGGTACCAAGAGGCATGGCACCAGATCCTCCAGATTCTGTTTAAGTCTAAGGTTAGCTCTTGTGCACCATTTTCCTGGGATGGAAGGGCCCTTGCTGTCATCAGGAGAATTACCATCCAAGCACCTGTCTGATTTTTGGAAGTTGTTCCAGAGACTGAGACATAGGGAGCGGTTATGGCTGGTGTCCTGTGCCACACTGCTAGCTCTGGGGCATACCTGCTACTTCATGGTCATCCCCAGTTCCTTGTCCTGTAGTCACCTAGCAGATAGTAAGCTAGATCCTCTGAAGCTATTCAGGCTTCTGTCTCTGATACCGATATTGGTAGTGAGTAAGAAACACAGGCTCATCTAAACTCTGGTACCAGTAGCCTCACCATTACCGGAAGTTCAAACTTAAACCTTTTGAATTAATCCTCCTTGTCACTGGATAAGATTATGGTATCTGGGGATTCCTCTTCTTTCTTTGACAGCTTCACAGGATATCATGAAATGTAAGAGAGACGCTAGATCTTTTGATATTCAAGATGAGGTAGTTCAGGAATGCTCCCACAGACTGGTTGACATACTCAGTTCTGCTGGGCCTTTCGGAATTCCAGCCATTTTGTATCTTACAAAGTCCTTCTGGCAGACACTGGCTTCTCTGCCCCAGACACACACGAGAACCAAGTGTATGTCTGTACTGTAATTAGACATGGATGACTGGGCTGGGCCAGTCGGGCTTGGGCTTGCAAGGCTGTTTAGTTGTACTATTGACTTTCAGGCTCAGGCTGCAGCCTGAGCTTTAGGACCCTCCCACCTTGAAGTTTCCTAGAGCCTAGGCTCCAGCCCGAACCTAAATGTCTACACCACAATTAAACAGCCCCTTAGCCCGAGCTCTGTGAACCTGAGTCAGATAGCACAGCCCAGCCATGGGTTTTTAACTGCAGTGTCATGTCCCTTCTCAATGATATGAGCATTTTTACAGGCACCTCCCCCAGGTTCCTTAGTGGTATCAGAGTTGAGTTTCTGCTGCCCCAAAGGGCCAAAAAGAAAAGAAGCTAGTCCTTTTTGGTAGAAAGGCTTATTCAATATCTGGTCTTCAATATCATATCTCCATTCACCGATCCTTATTGGCTAGATACGATTTCTCACACTGGAACAGCATGCTGAAGTTCTCGGACAAGTTGCCAGAGGAGACTAGGTGTGACTTTCAGGTCATGGTAGAGGAATCTAGTGGCTCGAAATTCACTGCAGGCAACCTTGGATGGCAGCTATAGAGTCATGGTGTCTGTCCTAGGCACAGATGTTCCTGGCTGCAGTCATCTCGTCTCTCATCAGAAGTTCAGCAAACAAGCCAGGACCTTCCCTTTGAATGTCATACCCCCTTCTCTCAAAAGACTGATGTGGTGTTGCATAGTTTCAAGGATTCCAGGGCCATATTGAAAGCCGTGGGTATTTACACACCTCTTCCTAAAAGAGAGTAATTCTGACCTTAGTCTCTGCATAAGTATCCCTATCAGTTCAGAAAATGGGGCAAGACACTCAAGAGAAGACCATCACCTGCTCGTCCTAAAGCAGATTTCTCAAGTCAGGGTGTGGCCTCTGGGCAGACTATTTGACAGCTTTGTTGAAGACAAGGGTACTTGCTCACCATGTTATAGTTTCTCCCACCCCTATTTTTTTCAGTAGGTTATCCCACTTCCTACAAACTTGAGCCCTCATTGCCACTGCTCAATGGGTTCTAAGCCCCATAGAACTGGAATACATCCTGCAGTTTATTTCTGTTCTTCCTTCCCACTTCCCTCCCTTGTCCTTCTTCAGGGACCATTTTCTCTTCAAGATGTACAGTCTCTTTTACCAGTGGGAGCCATAGAGGAGGTAGTCTCCTCTCCCTTGAGGGAAGGGTTCTATTCTCTCCATTTTCTGATTCCAAAGGGAAAAGGAGGTCTCAGGCCCATTTTGGACTTGTGAGATTTAAACAAATACATAGTTAAAAAAAATATTTTGTGGTCACCCTGGCTGCCATTATTCTCTCTCTAGCCCCCACTGGTACACTTTCCTTGACTTGAGTAATGCATATTTTCACATGACTATCCATCAGAGTCACAGAAAGTTCCGAAGATCTGTGTTCCTGCCACCTCCATTGGGTGGGGTGGCAGGAGATAGGGGGATGCAGGCCCACCTGACTCCACTACATCCCAGTCCAGGGCCCTAACAGTGGTTGAGTGGTGTGCTGTTGGGTCAGCGGGGATCCAGCTGCAACATGCTGAACCTGACTCAGGCAGCAACCCAGCCGGATCGTAGTCGTCTGTCCCTGGAAAACTTCCCACCCTTCCTTCGGGGTGTATCTGGATCTCTGGGTTGTCCTCCGTCGCCCCGCGCTAAACTGCAAGTGGTAATCCCAGCTGCTCCTCAGCATCGGGCATGTCTGGTAGCTCAGGCAGTTCAGATGAGTCTTCAGGGCATCAGAAGTCCTCAGCAGGCTCAGGCTTCAGAAGCAGGGTGGAAGCTTCTGCTTCCCTCAGTGGCTTCCCCCCAAATGAGCTACAGGGCCTGCCTTTTATATTTCCTCTTGCTGTCCTACGCCTCTGCTTCTGGCATGGCGGGTATGGCTTTCCTGGTTCCGCCCACCGGGGGGGTCTGGCCAATCCTCACTGTCAATCTCCGAGGGAGGCCATGCCTGTCTGCTACAGATATTCCCCTATCTGGACAAGTGGCTATCTTGGGATTGTTTCAAGCACAAAGTAGAAGTTGGTTTCACCAGATGCAATCCCTTTTCCAGTAATTGAGCCCATTGATTAGTGAGGACAAACTGTTGTTTTTTTCCTTCCAGTTCAGAGAACAGCATTTATAGTGGTGATCCTCGACTCTACATTGGCCAGAATATTCTTGCCACAAGCCAGGTTCTAGATAATACTATATATTTGTGTGTCGCTTAAAAGCCCCTCTGCCCACAATAGTAAGAAGCTGTTTAAGACTTTTGGGGCAGATGGCTTCCTGCATGTACATGAACCAGCATGCCAGACTTCACCTCAGAATGTTGCAGGGCTGGACAAAGTCAGTTTATTCCTCATCTCATCATCTGTTGGACATGCTGATTCGCATACCTACAGAAGTCGTAACCTCACTAGATTGGTGGAAGGATCCTACCATCATGTGTATGGGAGTTCCCTTTTCCTCTCTGTCCACAACTATAATTATGGATGCTTCATATCTTGGTTGAGAGGCTCACTTAGGGAGCCTGCATACCCAAGGTCTGTGGATGGATCAAGATCTCACCCTACACATAAATGTATCAGAGTTGGCAGGCAATTTGTCTGGAGTGTCAGGTGTTCATCCTTCATATCAAGGAGGCTACCTTACAAATCCTCACAGACGATATTGTGGCGATGTTGTGCGTGAACAGACAGGGAGATGCCAGATCTGATCATCTCTGTCAAGAAGTGATAGATCTATAGGACTTTTGTATCAGCAGTGCAGTATATCTCATAGTCCCCCAACTTCCTGGTGTTCAGAATAGCTTGGCAGATTTTCTAAGATGAACATTCAGGAAAGACCACAAATGGTCTTTCAAACCAGAGATTGAGAGATTCATCCTTCAGTCTTAGAGGGTCCCAGAGATAGACCTGTTCATTATTTGAACAGAAAATGCAACTTGTTTTCTTGTAGGGCGTGGCACGGTCTGGGCTCCTTAACAAATTCTTTCCTTCTCTCATGGAAAGCAAAGGTACTATATGTCTATTCTTCTATTCCTGTGCCCCACAAAGTGTTATGCAAGCTCAAGCAGGACTGAACTCTCATGATCCTCATAAAGCCAGCCTAGCGTTGTCAGTATTGGTTCTTCAGTCTGCTAAATTTCTATCAAGTTGAATATCGCAACCTCAGGAACCTGACCTATCACAGAACCACAGTTGGAAGATGCATCCCAACCCATGCACCCTTCGTCATAAGGTGTGGACGCTCAATGGTTAACATCTCAAGAGGCTGAGTGTTCTGTGGATGTGCAAAACATTCTTATAAACAGTAGGAAGTTATCCGCTAAATATGCTTACCTGATGAAGTGGAAGAGTTTGTCCAACTGGTCTCAGTAGAAGTTTATTTTTCTGATCCTGTCTTCTATCCAGCATATCCTGGATTATTTGCTTCACTGGAAACATCAAGACCTCTCTGTAAATTCTGTCAGCGTTTACCTGGCAGCTATCTCCATATTCCACCCACCAATCTGTGGTAGATACATGTTTTCTAATCCTAAAACCATTAAGTTATTTCCGGTGTGGACAGGCTGTACCCTTATATAGGAGATCCCATTCTCCCATGGGACTTGAATTTGGTACTGTCTATGTGACAGGATCCCCAGGGCGCAGCCTGGGACTGCTTTGCCCCCTTAACTCTCCAGCCTGGGCTGTCTCTCACAATGCTTTGCTCGTGACAAGCAGCAAACTCCTCCAGGTGCTGCGATCACTCAGCACAACTATATGTGGAGCCCCACACCCAGCTGGATTGCATGAATGCTCCCAGAGCCACTCATGAATCACACAGAGAAAGGCACCAGCCAAATCCCTCCAGCTCCCAGCCTTGTACCTCAGGAATATACCGTCTTGCTCTGTTCAGGATGAGCAGTGCATATTTATTAATTGGTTCACCACTTCATCAATGGAAAGTGGATATACACCAGCCTTTACAAACCTGAGCAGATTTACCACACACTTCAGGCAGACTCACTGGTAAAGATAAACAGTTAAACAAATCTGTTGACTACAAAAGATAGATTTTAAGTGTTTATAAGTGATAGGCAAAAAATCAGAGTGATTAGCAAAATAAAATAAAATATAAGCACGCAGTCTAAAGTCTCAACCCTATTAGACTGGGCAACATCTAGATTAAGCAGTTTTTCTCACCCCACTGGATATTGCAGTTCATAGTGCACAGGTTTCACCCTTCGGCCAGTCTCCTGTTGGAGTCTTCAGTCTTTTTCTGAGTGTGTCTGTTGCTTGCAGCACAGGTGGGGACAGGAGAAAAGGCTAAGCATGGAACCTCTGAGTTCTGTTTTATACCCTCAGCCCCACGTGCTTGGAGAACACAAGTCCAGGCATGTCTGGTGGGCATTGCTGAGGCCCCAGGCAAGGTTGAGTAATTTCCCTGGTGTGGCCTTATGCAGGTGAGTCATTGAATTGTAGCTTCCTTGCTGAACAGTGGCTGTTGATGGGTTGTTTGACACCTGCCCGGGCATTGGTTATTTTCCTTGGCATTGTCTGGAGAGCTAGTATCTGGGAGCTTCCCAAACCCACAGCATATTTTAGTGACACCATACAACATAATTCTCATAACTTCATATGCATTCATGATATACATATTTTGATAAAACAGTGACTCTCAGTAGATCATAATCTTTCCCCCTGATACCTCACATGGCCTGTTTAATATGCAATATCTCAATTATATATAAATAAGGAATAAGAAGGTTACAGAATGCTCCCACAAAGTATAGAGTGTCACAATCTACACTCATGGATCCATGTTTGAAGCTGATGGCCACCACTTCTTTGTTACATCTGTCTGTAAAGATAGCCTTTTTGGTGGCCAAAAAGTCTGTGACGTGGGTGACCCAGTTATATGCTCTGGCTGCTGATCCTCTATGCGTTACAAAAAAATCACAGTTTTTGTGTGTTATGCTGAATGGAGTCATCAGCTTACATTACAGTGGTTACAGGATTGCAGTGGATGAGAAGTTGGATATGAGTCAGCAGTGTGTCCTTGTTGCCCAGAAGGCTAACAGCATATTAGGCTGCATTAGTAGGAACATTGCCAGCAGATCGAAGTAATTATTCCCCTCTATTTGGCACTGGTCAGGCCACATCTGGAGTATTGCATCCAGGTTTGTGCCCCCCACTACAGAAAGGATGTGGACAAATTGGAGAGAGTCCAGCGGAGGGCAACGAAAATGATCAGGGGACTGGAGCACATGACTTATGAGGAGAGGCTGAGGGAACTGGGCTTGTTTAGTCTGCAGAAGAGAAGAGTGAGGGTGGATTTGATAGCAGCCTTCAACTACCTGAAGGGGGGTTCCAAGGAGGATGGAGCTCGGCTGTTCTCAGTGGTGGCAGATGACAGAACAAGGAGCAATGGTCTCAAGTTGCAGTGGGGAAGGTCTAGGTTGGATATTAGGAAACAGTATTTCACTAGGAGGGTGGTGAAGCACTGGAATGGGTTAACTAGGGAGGTGATGGAATCTCCATCCTTAGCGGTTTTTTAAGGCCTTGATTGACAAAGCCCTGACTGGGATGATTTAGTTGGTGTTGATCCTGCTTTGAGGAGGGGATTGGACTAGATGACCTCCTGAGGTTTCTTCCAACCCTAATCTTCTATGATTCTATGATTAAACTTTTTTCCAGCTCTGATTATCGAGCTTCTAGCCTCTATCTTGAAACTGAAGTTATAAGAACTGATAAATAGAATTGGGGTTGCACTTAGTTCCTCTTACCCCCCCACCCCATTGTTTCCACCCTCAGTCAAGATTTAATTGACCCCATGACAGGTGGATACCATTACTTTCCAATAACAGTGAACTGGTGCATAATAGCTTAAATAATATCTTAATGAATAAAACAATGAACACATAAGTTAGTATGAGCTTTGAGAGGGCTGAAGGCAGTCATCTTCTTCTTAATGCATTAAATACTATTGAAAAAATACCAAAAGCTTTAGAAGTTTGCCTTTTTTCCGTTATTTTTCACTATGCTAATTAGATAATTTCCAGTTAGCTAAATTCCACACAATTAGCTAATGAGATGCTTGCACTTCTAGTGAACCTGGGTGAATCCTTCTTACTATTTTTTATTTTAATCACAGGCTCTTAACAGAATGTCTGAAGAGTTAAAATAGTGTTATTTTATCTACACGGCTTTAAATTCAGTGTTTTCACCTCTTTTCTTATTATATGTGTTTTTTATTATTTATTAATTACATACTAAATACTGTAGAAACATAGATTAAAATCTCTATCCAGGGATCTTAAAATCTTAAATACAAAACCAAAACAACCCTCCCTCAGGATTTTCCTTCTCCCATGTACATACGTCTGTGTGTCACCTGAGCCCAGCTCACACAAAATGAAGACATTTCAGAAAAAGGGATAATAAAATCTTTGGTACTTGCCTAAATTTAGAATGCACATTCTAGGATTTCCATAATTGAGTATGCCTTTTTTCTCTGTATGCTGCTCAAGACTAGAAATAATGTACTTGATTTGGTGAATTTTAAAGGATGAAAAAAGAACAGGCATTTCCTCAATTCCATTTTACTAATGGAAAAGTTTAAAGAAAACTGTTTTTACTAACTGTGTAGTTCCTTTGAGAAAGAAGGGGAGGCGACAACATATAAGCTTGCTGCACTTTGTTTTTATTCTCCTCTTGGTTTTGAAAGCTTTCTGATATTTGACTTGTTCATGCATTGAAGGACTTAGAGCAGTTAACATAAGTGAGATCTCTTCCTGTTTTTCAAAGAAGCAGTAACTTGGGTATCCTCCAGTTGAGATAAGTGGGTGGGAAAGGTAGAAAAGGGAAACCAAATTACCAATTACAAAAATGTTTTCCCCAATATTGTTTTGATAAGAAAAACTCATTTTAAAATAATCAGTCTTTAATTTGTGCTTCTCCTTTTTCTCTTCAGCATTGTGCTTTTGCTGAGCCAGAAGCAAGCACTGGAGGAACTCAAGCAAACAGTTCAGCAATTAAGATGCACTGAGGCAAAATTGTCAGCCCAGAAAGAACTTCTAGAACAAAAAGTTCAGGAGAATGATGGGAAAGAGCCACCTCCAGTAGTAAATTATGAAGAAGATGACAGATCAGTCACTTCTATGGTAAGTCCCGTGCTTATACTGAACCATGCAGCCACTCATGCTGTTGAATTGCTCATCTTTGGGGTCAGAGGCCTGACTGCTTAGCAAAGAACATCGTATAGTTGCAGGCAGCCAACTGAGAGGGAGTCATAGTACCATCTAGAGGGACCAGCCAACTCTATTGATTGGCTGGGTCTTTCTCCATCTGTGAACTTTTGAGGGGATGGTGAAAACTACCTTTGCCTCATATTCAGAGAATGTATTCAGGGGAGAGGGTGGACTGTCTTTCCACTTAACAGCAGGTAGGGGACTGTAAATACAATTGCTTGTTCTATTGCAATTACTGCCCATAAAATCATTCTAGAGCAGAGATGTAGCAGAGTGTATCACTGTTTTAGGGAGTTCCCATTAGTCAGTAATGAAGAACTGCAAATATCTGTACACCTATAATGTGATTTTTTGAGAATAATTTAATAAATCATTGTAAGTTGTCTTTTGTTGGGCTATTGGTCAAAATAATAGACTGCTCCAGTAGTGTATTCTTGAGCATTGCTTGCTTCATATGCTGGAAGAGGGTAATTACAGCAGTTAGACAAGCAGGAGTACTTCACAGACCTCTATGCTGAAGAGATTCTGTTTATGTTGGGGAGGCAAGTAATGTTAGTCTTTCCTTGTCAGCTACCTGTAAAGTCAGGAAGATGTGGTAAGCTAACTAACTGCTTCAGTAATGTGGGAGGAGAGAGATTTGCATGCCAAACCATGTAAGAAAATGGCAACAAGCCAGGATGTTTCTAGATTTCTTTGGCACGAGAGGGTGTGTGAGAAAATACGGTTAAATGTTCTAGCTTCATTATGAAACTAGTGAGTTGGCTTGGATTTTGGAGTTTGTAGAAACCCTACCCTCAGTGACCTTTGGACAAACTTTATCATTTGGTTTATGTTCATGAAACCCAAGAGGACTTTAGGCAGATGTACATAAAACTGTCTGCTCCAAATCTTAATGTTAAAATTAAAAACTCTTATCAAAAATGATTGATTTAAGTAAGATGTTCATTAAATTACAACTTAGTTCTCAGTTTTTAGACTTCCCCACCCTTTATATTATAGTTTGTTGTGTTGGCAAAGCTGAAATTTCCTATTTTGTCTCAGGCTAATCAACAAAAATATTAGAAATCATAACTACATGAATTTTTTTAGTCAGTGTCCTGTGTTCCTTCTATATGGTGCAGGTCAGCTTTTGTGCTGCCACTTTCAAAATACTCTCTGTATCTGTATCTGTCATGACTGAGTGCTGAGATCTGACATGTGGGTCAGCACTCTGATCAACATAACCTCAATTAGTGTCCCCCAACCCCTGATAATGGCTGATTGAGTCATTAGCTAATCAGAAGGAGAGTGTGGGGAGTAAGAAACTAATTAGCCCTCAGCTCACCATCCTGATAAAAAAGCCTTAAGGAAATGTTTCAGAGAGAGGAGGACAGGGCTAGCTGAGCCTGGAATGAAGGAGCTCCCTAGAGAGAGGGAGACTGCCTTTCCTCCTAGGGCCCTAGTCAATGCAGGCTGAAAGAAGTAGAGGTTAAAACTGTGGTGTTGCACTGTACTACTGTTAGTGGACAGGTTTTAGAATAAAATACAGCCTGCATGCAAGATGAAAGTGGGTCTGAGCAGTTTCTGGGGCATCAGAGGTGAGGGACACAGTGTGACTCTGTCTCACACTCTAATTTTGTACATGGTTATATGAGCGCACACACTGTGCTTCACCTTTGTTCTTGGCTGCACACGCACCATTATAGCAATTTGAATATTAGCCGCTAGCAGACAAGATACTTAAAAATTGGGTTATGGCTTTGGACCTCATGGAAAGGTCTGAAATAAACCATCCAACTTTTTTTAAATGATCAGATGACGTGTGTGTGTGTGTGTGTGTTTATATATCTGGAACCACTTGGACTGTTAGCAGGAACTTGGCATAATTGGAAGGCTTAGGGCTAGTCTACACTAGAAGTGCTATGGTAGCTCAGCTGTGCTGTTGTAGTACATCTGGTGAAGATACTCTAGGCCAACTGGAGAGAGCTCTCCCGTCGCCATAATAACTCCATCTCCATGAGAGGTGGTAGTTATGTCAGCAGGAGAAGCTCTCCCTCTGACATAGTGCTGTCTACACCGGTGCTTAGGTGTAATTTCTGTCGCTCAGGGGTATGGATTATTCACACCTCTGAGCAATGTAAATTATATGAAAGTAAGTGGTAGTGTAGACAAGCCCTTAGTTTCTAGGCTTTCTAATGATCCCACACAGAAGCCCCACTTCACCCACTAAATGACTGCAGATATAAAGAAATAGAAATTACACTAGCTAATGTTTTTGAACAGAATTAATTTCAGTAAAATATCCAAAATAAAATGCTATTGTAAACACTATTAAGTTTGTGTTATATGTGGGCTTTGGAAGAACTAACTTCAGAAGTCAAGGTTGGAAGAGATTTTCTTAATGTTCTAACCAGGCAGTGATACTAAAGTATTTATAAAAACTGGTGCTGTGTAGCCAGTCCAAGGCTTCAGAAGACTTTTTTTTTCTGTATTTTGAACTATTTTTTCCCTCATCCCCTTCTCTCCCTCCTAGCCTGCACAAATCTCTGTGTCTTTTTCTAGCCATGCAACATGGATTCTCATCCAAATACTTGATTACATTTTTTGTAATGAACATTCTTCTTTGAGTGCTTACTCATGTCGGTTCCATTCTAGGTGTGTGCATACCCACGTGTACAGTTGTCAGAGGTTTTTGCCTTTGTGGTATCCGTAGGATCGGCTCTGGCACCCTCTGGAGTGCCGTGGTCATGTGTTGGCATATCAGGCACCGCCACCCTACACCCTCTCAGTTCCTTCTTACCACCTCTTATGGTTGGTCGGTGCGCCTTCCCCTTGCCTAGCAAGTGGATAGCGGTTCTTCCTGTACTTCGTTTCTCAGTGCCCTGTAAATAGTTTGTTTACAGTTACTTAATAAATAGTTGTTAAGTAGTGTAGTTAGGGAGTTAATCCCAGCGGGGACTTTGTCCCAGGTGTGGCATGCCCCGGTCTCTGTGTTTTAACCTCTGTTCTGCCTGCCACAGGCCTCTGCCTGTGAGTGACCCCCATAGCAGCTGTCTGAAGTGCTTGGGGGAATTACATTTAAAGGTCAGGTGTCAGATTTGTAAAAACTTTGGTCCAAGAACCCAGAAGGATTGTGATATTTGTTTGAGGCTTAGAGGCTGCACTTCACCCAGCGTCTGAGCCCTACCAGCAAGACTCTATGCCCAGCATGTAGTCCTTAGTTCGTAGTGCACCCCTGGCACCGGGATTGGCCCGGCACCGCTTCCCCTCGCCAAGGCCCAGAAGGGGTCAAAAAAACAGGACTCCCGGGCCCGAGCAAAAAAGGTGAAGTGACATCAGGCAAAGGACCTAATTCGGGCCACCACCCACACCAGAGTTGAATAGGGTGCCTCTCTGATTGGACCCACTAGGTCCCCCAGAGATCTGCCGCTGACTCCTGGGAGTGGCAGGGGATAGAGACTCACTAATGGGCTGCCATGGAGCCTCCATGACGTTGGATCCGGCGAAGGCTCCCTATGGGGGCAAGCCAACTATAAGAGCCTCCCAGAGGGCTAGTGAATGCCATCGGTCCTTGAAGCTGAGGCGGAGTTCCCTGTCTCTGCAGTGGAGGGCTCTGGTTGGCTGGCACCGCGTTTGCGATCTCCATCAACTAGACACAAGTTGCTCAGAGGGAGATGTTGGACACTGTACATCTGGCACCAATCGACCTCACATCCACCAACTCCATGGCGCAGATCCCCGTCTCCCAGATCTCTGGGGCAGTACCAATCTTCCTGTTCCCAGCACTGATCCCCAGGAATACGTTCCTATGCACTGCTCACTACGGCGACAGTTAGACATCAAACTCCGGCATCGACGGCCCCTCCATGGTCTTTGGAAGGGGATTCCTCCGGGTCAGATCAGGAGTTCAGCTCCTTGCTGAGGCAGTAGTGGCCCGCTTGGGCATCAGAGACCGCATCAGCCTTCACGATGCTGACCTGGCAGCTGGGTCAGTGGCCGGGTCAGTGGTCTTACTGGAATGCGTTGGGCATGCCAGTTGCTGATGCCCTTCTCTCACCACTCTTCAGTGGCCACTTCAGAAAAACAGCCTATGGCACTGGGCTCGGTGCATGGAGCGGAATAGGACACTGGGGCAAAGGAGTGAATACCCATCCCTAAAGTCCCTTCCTCCATGGGGAATGATGTTCCAGGCCCTCCCCTGGTGGTTCAGTCATCCTCTTTGTCGCCTGATGAGGCAGTGGCTGGACCATCTCGCGCTAATCCACCTGATAATTTCAAAGAGTATCAAGCTCTGTTCCGAAGGGTGGTCATGAACTTGAGCTTGGAGGTGGAGATGTCGGAGCAGTTGAACACCTTGTTTGATATGCTCTCTGCAGCAGCCCCCTCTCAAGTTGCGCTGCCAGTACATGAGTGTGTCCTAAAAATAGCTAAAGCCTTCTGCCAAATTCCGTCCTCCATCCCTCCCACCTCCAGAAAGGCTGAAAAGAAGTATTTTGTCTTGGCCAAGGGGTTTTAATACTTATATACTCATCCGCCCCCAGGTACGCTGGTTGTCTGCGGCCAATGAGAAGGACAGGCAGAGGCAAACCAGTTCTACCCCAAAGAATAAAGAAGTCAAAAGACTGAACCTTTTGGGGAGGAAGATTTATTCAACGGCCAGCCTTCAATTCAGGGTGGCAAACCACCAGGTGGTAGCGGGGAGATAAAACTTTAATCTGCGTGACTCCCTCAGGAAACTTAAGGATTCTCTGCTCCTGGATTTGTCCCGAGAGTTTGTAGCTCTGGTAGAGGAGGGCACGACAGCGGCCAGATGTTCCCTCCAGATGGCCTGGGACGCAGTTGACTCGGCGGCCAAGGTGGTCGCATTGGCCATGATTGAGGCGCAATTCATGACTTCAAACGCGGGCCTGTCCCAGGAGATGCAGTCCTCCATT